ATAAGAAGTTTTGGTGAGGAAACCATTCTTCAGTGTTAAAATTGCTTCTTCCCCATGTTTTAAACTCTCTCTTCCTCCATAACCCAGTTTCCTCTCTGCAAGCTTTAAGATCTTAATTTTCCAGGTACATATATCCATACATGTATTTTCTACTATTTGTACTCATTCTGCTTGAGGCATAAAGACAAATTAAGAAATTTTTTTAACAATTTGTTAGGGTATATGTGCTTTATTTTATAGATCAGATGTCTTTAACTAATTTCTTATAATTTAATTTCCTCAAATTCGTTATTTTTCTCCTCCTGGTTTGTAGAATTGTAGCAGTTGTTTTTGCGCCGTAAGTACTCTGCGCAAGGACTAGAGAGTAGAGAGGTCTGCTTGCTTTTCTTCGTTATTTTAATCATTCAAATTTTCAAGCCTGATGAATTGAGGACCAGGTATGAGATATTTTTCTATATAAAAGAATTTAGTTTAATATATTTTGCTTCTAAGAATATCATAAAATAAAATATATGGAGGAAAAATATTTAAGTGTTACTACTTTTCATGAATTGAAGCCAGCATAGTACAAGTTATTGCCTATTTTTCATTATTTATAATTTAATATTGTATTTTAATGTTAAATATTAGTAACAGGTTGAGGTTATTGTGAAGTGTCTTTTACTGCTCTTTTTTCCCCTCTAGAGGATAAATATATTTTGTTTTTTTAGTAGAGTTTGTATTGTATTTTTAACCACAAGTTACCATTAGATTCTCAATCACTCCATACCAAAAAAAAATACCTTTTTGTTTCCTTTTTTTTCTTATAAATATACACTACTTGAAGGAATACTGTAATAATACTCCATTTTATTTCATTTTAGCAATTTTCTCCATGACATGAAGTCTATTATAGGGCAAGTTCTTCAAAGTGTTCGTGAAAGGGTTCTTGATCCAGTTTCTAAAAGAATTAGTGAAAAAGCTTGTGAAAAAGTTCTTGGAGTTGTAGAAGAACACGTAGATTGTCACATAAACTTCCAAAATTATGTGGATGATCTTAAAAAAGGAGTGGGAGACTTAAAACGTAAAAGACGTGATAAAGAAGCAGAATTAAGAATAGTGGATCACTCAGAAAAAATGGTCAAAGAAGAAGTGCAAGGATGGCTTGAAGGTGCAGGGAAGGTCATTGATGTGCTAGATATTGAGGGAGAGGTTGAGAACGTTTCATACCTGTCACAGGGTAGCCTTGGAAGACGTGTTCGTCAAAAGACGCATGAGGTGAAAGAAATTCACAATCGAGGCAATTTCACTGAAGGTCTTGTAATTGAAAGGCCTCCATCTATTGGAATCCCTTTGCCAACAGAGAATATGGTGGGCAAGCTTGATGTGAAGGAAAAAATTCGCGGATACCTGAGGGGTAGTGAGGGAATGATTGGAGTTTGTGGAATTGGTGGAATTGGCAAAACTACTATTATGAAACACGTCCATAATGAATTACTAAATGAGGCTAACGGGTTTGCAAAGGTTATCTGGGTCACAGTATCACATCCACTCAATATTGTAAGATTACAAGGTGATATTGCAAGAAAAATGAACAAAGGCCTTCGAGAAGATGCAGATGAATTGGAGCGGGCATCAAGATTGATGGAGATTATGAAAACAGTGAAATATGCATTGATCTTAGATGATGTGCGAGATAAATTTACTCTTACAAGAGTTGGAATCCCAAAACCAACAATGGAAAATGGGTGCAAAATTGTTATTACTAGCAGATCAGTTGATGTGTGCAACTACTTGAGCTGTCAAATAGTTAATGTTCCACCTCTTTCAAAGGAAGAGTCTTTCAACTTGTTTTTAGATGAGGTTGGGTCTGATGTTCTACAAATGCCGAATTCAGATGAGATTGTGAAGCTTATAGTGCATAAATGTGCTGGTTTACCGTCTGTCATTGTTGGCATTGCTAGCAGAATGAGAGGAGTAACAGATATTTGTGAGTGGAGAAATGCATTACTTGAGTTGCCTCAATAATAGCATGGGAGAAGAGGAAGGAAATTAAAACAACTATTGCAATAGTCACTCTTCCAACACTAAGGAAACTGTGTTTGAATTGTTTACCATAAGAATATTCTCTTACCTTTCCTCAATTGCTAGTACAATATATTTTTATTTATTTTTCTTTTATCTCTGTTTCCCGTCACTTGCGTTCCATTCTCTATGATACTTCATAAATAAAAGCTTCTCCTTTTTTTACAATATTTTTGCTTCAGAAACAAATGTGATTCTTGGTTTGAAGGACTTGAATTTTTTTTTTTTTTAAGGGCCATCAAAGGACTTAAAATGTTTTTTT